TAAGAAGAGATCCCACTTGTTGATTGTTTGTGCTAGTTCACGGGCAACTGATGTTTTGTTCGTAAAATCTTTTCCTACACCAATGTTTTCAAGAGTTCTTCCTAAACTCTCTTCCAGCCAATTTAGTGTGTTCGTTTTAATATTTAGATTGTTCAGGGTTTTATATCTCCTTGGTTCACTTTGGTGACTCATACATGTCTAGGAATCTATCCATTTCTTTTAGATTCTCCAATTTATTGGAGTATGAGTTTTTGAAGTAGTTACTAATAATCTTCTGGGTTTCTGGGTTATCAGTTGGATTTTGCCTTTTTCATTTCTAATTATATTGATATTAGTCTTTTCTGTCCTTCTTTTGCTAAGTTTGGCTAAGGGTTTGTCTATTTTGGTTAGACTTTTGAAGTGCCACCTCTTTGATGCATTGATTTTTTGTTTTAATTTTATTAATTTTTTACTCTGATCTTTCTAATTCCTTTTCTTATAGTAGCTTTGGAGTTGGACTGCTCTTGTTTCTCTAGGGCCTTAGTTTTATCATTAGGTTATTGATTTGGGCTTGCTCTTTTTTTTTTAATGTGGCCTTTAATGAAAATAAATTCTCCTCTTAGAACTGCCTTCATTCTGTCTTACAGGTTCTGGTATGTTGTACTGGGATTATTATTTGATTCTGTTTTATTTCTTCCTCTATTTATTCTGTGATCCACTATCAAGAGGGTATTATTTAACCTTCAGGTGTTTACAAAACTTTAGGAATTTCTTTTGCCACTGATTTCTAGTTTCTGTGCATTATGATCTGGTAATATGAATAGGATAATTTTGATTCTTTTGTATTTATTTAAAGAAGCACTATGGGCTAATATGTCATCTATTTTGTAAAAATTTCTGTGAGCTGTTGAGTATAATATGTATTCTGCTGTAGTGGAGTGGAACATTCCAGATATCAAGTCTAGTTGTTCAAAGGTGTGGTTCAAGTACAATATTTCTTTGTTGATTTTTTTGTCTAGTTGATATATTTGTGAATTTGGGGTACTGAAGTCCCCACTATAATTGTCCAATCATGTTTGTTTTATGAGTTGATTGTTGCTGGTATTCACCACATATATATTTACAGTTGTTATCTTTTCCTGTTTAATTGCTTTCTTAACTAATATGTAGTGACCTTCTGTGTTCCTTTTGATCTGTTTTGGCTTGAAATCCAATTTATTTGACAACAGAATAGTTACTCCTGTTTGTTTTCAGCCTCCAGTTGCATAGAATATTCATTTTTAATCTATGAATTTCTTTTTGATTGAATGTGTCTCTTGTGTGCAGTATACTGTCAAGTTGTATTTCTTTCTTTCTTTTTTTTTTTTTTGGTATGGGGGATCGAACTCAGGTCCTTGCGCTTGCTCAGCAGGTGGTGAAACCACTGAGCTAAATCCCCAGCCCCTCAAGTTTTATTTCTTGATCCAGTCTGCCAATCTGTGTCTCTTGATTGGGGACTTGAGGGTTACATTGAGAATTATTACTGAAAGGTATTTAGTTACTCCATTGTTGAGTCCTAATTTTCCTCCTTTGTTTAACTGATCACTCTGCTTAATGTATTCATTTCATCAGGCTTTTTGACATTATTGGCTTCATTGTCTCTGTCCAAGATATCCTTGAGGAGGTTTGGAGTACTTGTTTGATGGTCATGAATTTGTTCAGGTGGGTTTCTTTTTGTCATGGAAAGTCATTGTTTCTCCATCCATTTTCAAAGTGAAATTTGCAAGACATATTACTCTGGGTTGAAAGCTGTTTTCTTTTAGGGCTTGAAACACTTCACTTCAAGCTTTCCTGGTCCTTGACATTTGTTTTGAGAAGTGTGCTGTAATTCTAATGGATTTGCCTTTATAACTGATTTGTTGCTTTTCTCTATCAGCTTTTAAGAGGCTGTCCTTGTATTGGATTTTTTGGATTTTGATTCTGATGTGTTGCAGAGAAGTTCTTTAGTAATGTCTGTTTTCAGTTCTAGATGTCTCAGTTATCTGTATGTTGAATTCTTTTCCCATATATGGACAGTTTTTTTGTTATGATTTCTGTAAACTTTTTTTTAATTCCATGTGTGCTATTTTCTGATTTTTCCCTAAATTCAGTTAGTGTCACATTCATTTTCACATCATCTAGCAGCTGTTTGATCAATTTTCCTTGCTTTCTTGTTTTCAAGTTATCTTAGTACATGGTACATGCATCAGACCTGTCGTGTAGTTTTGATACTCTCTCCTCACATTGGTCACTTCTGCTGCTCATGCTTTCAATAGAATTCTTTATCTCCTGAGTTTCTGTTTGGCATTTTTTTAATGGACTTTGATTCTTTCCTAAATTGGTCATTTAGGTTTTGAATCATTTGGTTAGCTCTGCTAGTTGTTGATTTGTATCTTTTTTAAGTTCATTGATCCGTTTTTAAATTAAATACACTATCTGTTTAGTCATATCATCTATGAGGTTGCTGAATTTCTTTGTTTCTTCTTTGATCATTTAGCACAATTCAGCCATTTGATATTTGGTTTCCTCTCTATTGATGCCCCTTGCATCTGCACTGGGGAAGCTGGGAGTTTTTGGAGGTATTTTGTTGCCTTATGTTTTCATGTTTCTATTTTTTTTTTTTATTGTGCTGAGGATTGAGGATCAACTAAAATGAAAATATTCTGTGGCTAGTATGGAGATCCCTTTAGCTAGTGTCTACTTTCTGGTAAGGTCATCTTGGCTTTGTTTGCTTCCTTTTTTTTTTTTTTTTCCTTAAATTCTTTTATTG